ACACCTGGTAGAGCAGGCACACGGATGATTTTATTAAAGATTAAAGAATTTAGACAGTTTTTAACTTTCAGTGATGCCGTAGTGTTCCTTTGAATTTGGGGCCAGAAGTGAAATTTGGACCCGAAACAGCTTAAAGACCGGATAAAAATAATAATAAATTGAAAAATATACGATCAACTTTAAACTGAATCAACTGATTAATCATTAAGGAAAATGTGCTTGGTGTAAACTAATCAATAAAGTACATTTCATTTACATTTTATCAGATTCCATTAAATTTAAAGTTTTTCATGGTACTTATGTGACTAATCTACATGAAAAATCTACATGTAATTAAATGAGCTAAAGTGTGAATTTTGGGCTTAAACTTTCTTTAAGTGCACAAGCTATGTCCATCTTTTATATCCAGTTAGTTTACTTCACAGGAAGGTAGCATCTGATTAAGTCTTTCAGAGTCTGCAGAACAGCTTTGCTGCTTCCATTTCATATTGAAGTTTTAATCTAAAGTCTAAATCCTTCAGCTTTATAAAAGTATGAAAACTTATCTGCCGAATATGACTTCAAGCTGATGCATTTTCTTTGCAGGGCTCAAACACCTGGTTGTGTTATTATCTTTCCTTTCATGATTTTTTACCAGTATAATGATTGTTCCACCATTGTTGTGACTGTCAACCAGTGCTGGGTGTAATGCATTACAAAACAACACTTTACTGTAATCACATTACATTTTTCACAAGTGCAGTAATGTAGTGCATTACTGTACTAACTTCAGTAGTCAAGTTACAATTTCAGGCATTATCATCATCACAAATCACAAAATACAGTCACAATACAAAATAAAGTTGAGCATCATAGGGTCCCCTTCAAGTCACTTTTACAATATTCTCAATTCCAAATTGGGCAGCTGTAAACATTTAAAAGCCATCTGCTGAACTCTTGCTGATCAACCCGAACACTCACACAGAAAATAAAGAAAATGATCTACCTGGTCCCAGGGGCTGAGTCTCCCTCCAGAGAACATGAAGAGGTAACCCATGGTGACCAGACAGGCCCATATTAGCAGTGAGAACAGGCGAAGCATCCGCTTGAAGACGGATTCGATGCAGACGAGGATGAAGATGGAAAGGAAGAGGAAGAGCGCAGTGGGCACTGTGATCAAGAACGTCAAGTGGTCCTCTGTATTCTGGAGAGAGACAGAGATGGTTGGAGGTGAGGTGAGTTTGGTGAAATTGAACACATTCATGCTTTGGCCCTGGGTTAACCAATCACGAGTGGACACCTCTAATTGGCTCTCCCGTGGCGTCAGAATGCAACCACTTCTGTCAGTATCTCACCTAACCCCGTTCTCAGTGCAGATAAAATGCCACATGTGCAAAGAGTGGTTCTTTCTCTCTACACCAAACCACACAATGGAACGCCCGAAATGAAACACAGAGAGATAAGGCAGGGTAGGAAACATAAGATTAAGGAGGCAAACTCTTGATTGTACTGTGACTCATCTGATATCATCTCCCCACCTGATTCTTAATATAGGATTATATCTGCACATCGGAAAATGATGCTAAGGAGGTACCACTTCCGTTAAAGAGAAGGGGACCTGATGACCAGATGTCGGTGCGTTTGCTTCTTCTATAGGTCAAAATCATGCACTCTGACTAATGTGTAAGCACAATTATGGACGGATT